CCAAGGCAAAACAGCATGGACTGATGTCTGAATATGGTCTCCAGCAGGAGGGGGATCCACTCTTGGAAGTGCTCTATGTTTTTGCTAAATTTTTAGTTAGTTTTATTATGCACAGGGGGAAATTTTTGGATGTAAGGAGAAATAGTTTCCAGCCAAAATTTGATTAAATAATTCTAATACCTTCTGCACAAGACACAGAATAATAAAACAATTACTAGAAAATCATACTTGATTTCTTCAACAAATTCAGCCAATTTTAAGTTTGGTAATTAAACAGGTGATTTCAACTCCAGTCAATTTTGGATTTAAAGTGAAAGGAAAAGGCTAATACATGTTTTGTTGACTGTAAAGCCATGGAATGAGCTCACTAATTTCTTTGTGCTGATATTAACAGCAGGCCAATGGTGGAAGATATTCCATATGAAGTGAGGAGGGCTCAGGAAATCAATGATATATTTGGTCCCAAAGGTAGTGATGATGCCTATGACCTTATTTTTGACCTTCACAACACCACTTCTAACATGGGTGGTACCATTATTCTTGAAAACTCCAGGGATGACTTTACAATTCAAATGGTTCATTATATCAAGGTAAAACTAATTTAAATGAACTATTAAAATACATTATTAGTTGTAATGTTGTATTACTATATATTATCTTGTAGTCTCTTTATATATACTATTTTTTCTTCTGCAAAACTGTTTAAAATATTTCATTACTTATAGGATGAATTCTTTTTAATCAGAGGCAACTATTAATTTGATTATAATATCAGGTAATTCAGATTTAAACTCATCATATCTTCATGTATTAAAATGAGCATTATTAAGACTGATGGGCAAAGAGGAATACTTAGAATAACATCTATGAAAATTAATGCAGTTTAATCTGCTTTCACACTGATCTGTCAGGAACTTGGATACATTTGGGTTACACATGCTAAATAGTTAAACATTAATTTCATTAAATAAAGAGATGCAACAAATAATGGAAGTAGGTACTGACAATGTTCCCTCATCAGTGATGTGTCTTTAGAAGCTGTTTGATTTTTCTGTTCCTGAAGCTGATAAGTTTTGGTAGAGTGAGGTTTGCAGAAGTGCTGCTTAATGCACAATTTCCTTGAATTCTGGCCTGAACAGTGACTGATGGAATCCAGGTTGGGCCAATGGTGTGGAATTTTAATTTTGTTTTTTCCCTGAGAAACAAGGTCTTTTCAGACATTTTTTTCTTTTTATATGTATTCTTTTTAAATGCTTATAAAAATATATGAAGGTCTAAAAAGCTTTTGACAAAAATTATATGAAGAGTAATGGCGGACAGTCATCAAGAAAGAAGCCTCAAGTAGCAAAAAGGCCAATAAAGAACATTAAAACGAGGCTTAATTCACAATCTGTGTCCCCATAAGAGAACTGGAGTCTAACCCCAAATAAAATAGTTGAAATCTGGTATTTCAGTATTGATGGTATTTCAGTTCTCCCTTTTGGAACCATGCTGAGGAGATTTTTAATCTCTGCTGGCAGTTCAGGACTAGAGCTGTGCTCAGTTCAGGCTCAGCAGAGCTGCCTGGCATCACTTAATGGGACAGGCACCAACAAACACAGCTTTGTGCGTTTTCTAAAGATGTCCTACTTCCTCGAGGGCCCTGAAATAAAGGCAACATATTGAAGACATTGTGTAAATCACTTCTGCATCAGTAATCTTTTGTGGCACAACATTTGAAGCCGTTTTGCATGACAAAGGCGTTTTTAAACCTTCTCCACAGAACGCTTTGGCTCCAGAACCTTGTCGTGCTCTGCTGATTGAACACCCCAGCCTGAAATATGCAACAACTCGCTCCGTGGCAAAACATCCTGTTGGTAAATATCAAACCTAAAGGCTCTTTCAACCCAGCAGCAAAGATTTGGAAATGTGGCTGTTTTCAGGTGTGTTCCCTGCCTCATGCAGTGCTCTGAGCACCAGGAGCTGCTTGTTTGACAATATTTACCAAAATGAATGGCTGTGATTATCCTTTCTTCTGAAGGGCTCTGATTTACACAATCATTACATAACACAGAAATCCTTAAACTCAGTTAACCCACTTTTTGAGGAAAATATTTACAATATATGACAAGGACTTGCTTGCCTTAAAAACCCACATAATTCTGTGCCTTACAACCCTTCTTAAGCATTAAATACTGGCCCATCAGACATTTATTTTTGCTCTGCATGTGATGTGTGATGGTGACATTAAGTGACACATTAAGTGACATTAATGATCTCCCTCATCTCCAAACAGGTGTCGAGGTGGGGCCCCAGCCACAAGGTGTTGCTAGAGCTGATGTTTTGGACAAAATGAGGAAGATTGTCAAACATGGCCTTGATTTTGTGCAACTTTTTAATGAAGGTAATGAGAGGTTACAGCATCCTGTGTCATGTCAGTGGACTGTTTTAAGAGAATATTTTAAAAATATGGTTGGGCTATGAGACTTTACAGTTAAACAGATAAAAGGTGGGGGGAGAATTAAAAAATTAAAGTCAGACCTGTGCACTACCTAAAATACACTTTCATAAGTATTTTAAATTATTTTAGAGTATATTTTGTCACTGGGTTGGGATTTTTTTGAAATAGAAAGAAAATAATACAGTTATGCATGTCAGAATTTCTATTATTGTGCTGGAATAGTAAAGATTAAATACCACTGATATCACTCTGTGCTGTGCCACACTAGTAAACAGACCTTTCATTGATTTCCCCAACTACAAAATAGGTCTTTTTATGTGAAAAGTAACATTTCAATAACAAATTTAGACTTGAACTTCATATGCCCCAATACATGACTGGGCAATCTTTCTACAACTTGGCTTTGAGGGGACAATCTGATGATTTGAGTCATTCTGCAGAGAATAAATAATGCAATGTTCTTTTTAACAGGCAGTTTTTCATCTTGACATTAAATTACATTTATTCTTTCTAGGCAAGGAATTTCCATCATGCACAATCGAGGTTTTTAAAATAATGGAGAAAGTAGATTATCCCAGGAATAAGAATGGTGAAATTATTGCAATAATTCATCCTAAACTACAGGTAAATTCTAGAATACTTTCCTTTTGTGACATTTTCTACTTATCCCTGTGTTGCTTCTGCTATACTGTTGTATATTTTAGTAATAAATATTTAAAATGCCAATATTGCCAAAGGGTTTTATTGAATACTTTAGACCTCCCCTAGGGTTAACTTCTCTCACTAAGGTCATACATTCATTATTTCAGGAACTGTCTTGGGAATCACTGAATCTAAAATCGCTACAAAGAAAAAGCCAATAGGATAGCTTATATTTTAAGATATAAACCTAATTTTTCATTCTAAAATGAGTGTCCATTTTCAATTTTCAATCAATTGTGAGCATCTGCAGTTTCCTTCTAGTTCACTTGATCAGTGAATTCTGAAAATGAGGGCCAGACACAAAAGATTATTTATTAAGATTAAACAGAATTATTTTTAAAGCTTTTGCCATAAACTGCAGAAATTTGCATAATTAGCATTAACTCAAGAATCACATAAAATATACAAAAAACTGAAAGTGAATATATTCTATTTATTTTCTTTCCCTAAGGATCAAGACTGGCAGCCACTGAAGAATGGTGATCCTCAGTTTTTGACTCTTGATGGAGAAGTAATTCCATATCAGGGGAACTGCACAGTCTATCCAACATTTATTAATGAAGCTGCATATTATGAAAAGAAGCAAGCTTTTGTAAAAACAGAGAAAATCAAACTCACTGCAAAACACCTCAGGTTGTCAGTCTCAGAGCAGAGCACTTCTTAAGAGCTTTTTTTCATATAAAAAATGGCTTTCCTTGTGAAGTCCAGGGTCATTCAGTAGTAACTTGTGGGATACATAAATGCAGAATCTAATTTTAAATTGTAATTTAATTAACCTTGCTGAGCACTTTGAGATCTGTTGTCATAATGCTGATTATGAGTCTGTTTGTTGTTCTAATAGACTCCTATAGATGCAAAGAATTTATAAATATTTTTGTGAAGTTTTTATGAAGAAGCTCATCCACAGTACTACATTATATACAAAATTTACAGCTTTTCTACTTCATAAGCCCAAACCTTAATAACCAAGACTTTTTACAATGGGTTAATCCTTTAAATTAATTTCTCAGGTAAACACAAAATGTGAGACAAAGGAGAAGCTGGGCAGAGAGAAACAGGGGGAGGGTGGGTGTAATAAATGATATTATCTGCATATGTGACTGATCCCCACTGTGCTGAAGTGGAAGCCTTGGGGTTTATTTTGTTTTTATACTTACAAACATAAAAATAAGCTAAAAAAGGATTTCAGAGAAATATACTCTAAAAAGCTTTACATTTCATTTTAGTGTATTTCACAATTAATTCAAGCTGCTCCTGATTTAAGACAAGATTTAGGCAGTTATTCTGGTTTTGATGAAGAGCAGTGCATAAACCATACCTGAGTCTTCCAGAATGGAAATTAAGAAGAATTCCATATGGGGAGACTTGTTCTGTATCTGTAGAGACAAAGCCTGTCATAACATCTTAAAAAGATTTTAAAATGGGGGTTTAATTAATTTTCTAATGTTGTTTTTTACATATTTGACAAGTAGGTGATAAACATGAAGACTTTTGCATAAGGACACATTAATTATTTACTGAAAGATTAATTATCCAGATAACTCCTGTATTCTACCTTTGAAAAGTGATGTCACCCTCATTTACTACTAAATTTAAAGTATTTTTTCCTTGCCTTTGTGTAACTCCTATGGTAATAAAATAAAAAAAAAAGGACAATATTGATTGGATGACAAGTTTTATTTCCTTAATTTAAATAAACATGGTATAAAAAGCACAGAATGACCTGCTCCAGTCATTTTCCAGAGTGTCCTGGAGCCAGCACGTGGCTGGTGTGAGGTGGCCAAGCTCTGTGGCCACTCAAAGAGGGATTTCCTCAGTGAGAGCTTTTAGGAGCAGCCCCCAGCTGGTTCCTGAGTTCCAGGTTTAGTGCCTGGGCAGGGGCACAGCATGTTCTTGTAGGGTTTTTTGTGTTTCTTGTAGGGATTTTTGTGTTTCTTGTAGGGTTTTTGTGCTTTTTTCACAGCCCAGAGCAGCCTCAGCACGGCGCAGAGGCCTCGTCGTGTTTCCAGTGGCCTCACGGCCCAACCTGGTTCCTGAGTGTGTGTGAAGAGGTATTTTTTTTCCCTTTGTACAAAAACTGGCACAGAAAGGATCCAAGCAGAGCTGAGCAGCCCTGAGGCAATGTCCTTCCTCGGCAGCTTTGGTGCAAAATCAACAAAGATTCCGAGACCGCGGGAACTTTTCTTCTCATCCTCACGTCTCCTACTGAGAAAGCCAAACAGTGCTGGGGTGTGACGTGGGCTGTGGGTACACAAATGTCCTTCCCCTGCACTTCCTGTGCCCAGAACACAGCCCAAGGTTCCTGTGGATCCCATCCATGCATCCATTCCGTGGCTGGAATCTCAGGGGACGGCGCCTGTCAGGGCTGGTTGGGCAGCAGGACCCACGCTCACCATCCCTGTAAATATTTTGCATTATCCTTCCCACTGCTGGCTTTCCTCATGCTCTCTTCTGTCTTAAGAAAGTCTTTTGGATCATTTTGCCCACAGCTGCAAAATCCAATGCAATTCTTATTATCATTCAAACACAGAACTGAGTTCCCCTGAGTCTCACCTAAAATAGCACCTTTAAAACAGGCACCACATGAATAATTCTGATGAAAAGCCATGACACTGGAGATACATGTTAATTGAAATTTAAAAGTACACAGAACAAATGTTTCTCCTTATATGTACACACATAAAATAGAAAATGAAAAATATAATTCATAGTACTTGGTCATCACAGGTAATTAAATAAGAGCTACAGAAATGCATTACAGAGTCCTCTGAATAAAAAATAAAGTCTGGAATTGCATTGCATTGAACTAATTTTGTTCACCTGGGGAAGAAATATTGACTTCTGATTTTTCTGAAGTGGTTAAATGCAAAAATTAAATCAGAAGAACTTCCAGTGTGGTAACTCTTTATGTAGGAAGATACAACAGCATGGAAAAAGCCAAGGAGGAAAATTAATGTTGGGATTGGAGCAAAAATCCTCCATCAGGAATTCTATTTCTGCCCTGTTAGTTGATGAGGAGGCACAGACACACAGTAATAAATAAACAGCAATAAACTCCAATTACACCCTGGGACTGCACAGAGGAAAACAGACCAGGCAAAGCCAGTGGGATCTGATTTTCCAGCTGATGGGACCAAGCCCCCAGTAACACTGACAGTAATGCAAGAGCTGCAAATGTACCCAGAACCTTGTGACTTCAAAACGACACACTTCATTTAGTCATCTTCAGAACTGAAATGCTTTGCTTTTCTCCACAACAAGAACTTTTTTGTTTCAGTCTACAAAATGAGTTTCTCATGAGTTAGGGATTCCAAAAGCCAGCAGATTGGGATCACGATGACCTTAATTTACCTCAAAAGGAAGAAATATCTCACATTTGACCTTTTTTATCCAGTTAAACGTCTCGAGCCAAGTTTGAGGAGCATCAGGCAAACTTGGACAGCAAGTTTGAGAGGCTCAGAACTGACCCAGTGAAATAATCCCATTTATTTCAGCTCAGCTGCTCAGAATAAATGGGTGCAAGCCATCAGACTGTGTCGCTGAAAGTTTGTGTTCCAGCTGGCTACAGCTGTCCAAAACAGCCACAAAGCTTTCAGCCTCCACTGCTGATGCTTTTAACCTTCAGAAGAGCCACACGTCAAGCACAGCACAACTAAACAGAAGTTTCAGGCAAATCATCCATTTCTTCAAACGTATTCAGGGTGTTTTTGCTATTAGTTCTTGAATTATCTTGAATTTTGCTTGGATCTGCAAAAAAATGCATTGTAAACAAAACAGGATATGGTAGAAACTGTATAGGTAAGATCAGAATTTTGCACCTTTTTTTTGGTTAAAAACATGTATTATTTAAACAGCAAGCTCTCAGTTTGCTACCATATCTTCTACAGAATTTTTTTCACCCCAGAGTAAGCTCATTTCTCCAGGATACTCCTGTCCTGGCAGCAGATGGGTGTCTTGGATTTCCTGGCCAACATTTATGTCATCCAATATATATGTTACAAAACTTGTTTGTCACCAACCCTCTCTCCAAGTCTTTAAAAATAATTTAACACCACTGCCATATTAACCATTAGTTTCTCTAGCAATAATATGTGGTTTAATATAAGAGTTTATATTTTAAAGGTATAAAACTTAATCAAAAAACATTTCTAAGAAGAAAAGATTCTGCAAATCGGGTGCCATAAAATTCCACAGTACCTGTTGGCCCTGGATCTTCATTAATAAATGAAACATGGGTTTTCCACTCGGTCCATTTCACTTCATTAATCCTGTTTACATTGTACATAAATTGTGTTATCACCATGAATTATCCCCCAGCTACATCCCTGACCTTCCCCCTTTATTCCTTCCTGGGATTGTCACACTTGGCCACCTGCTTTGCTGGCACTAAAACCTGGATATCTTTTGCACTGTATGAAGGTGAGAATAATACCAAGACTGCTTCATAATTTCACACATTGTTAGTACAGCCTTGAAATATTTAAGTATTTTTCATTAAACAGCACAGTTCTTTAATATGGTAATCATCAATTACCAATCAACTTAACTGTGATTGCTTTTAAGCTGACATTCAAAGGAGATTATGATAAAGTGACATTTACTGCAAACAGATTTGATGCTTCTACAGTCAAAACATATGAAGATGAAAATCTTTTCTTACCAAAAGATTGCCTACATAAAAATTTATACATTTTCCCTATTTAAACAACTGGTTACAACTGAAAAAAAATCCAAATTATATTTTTGTACACCTAGTATAATTTGTAGAGATAATATAAATATTTTAAAGAGGGTTTTGAGGAGGAATGACCTTAAAGCAGCACAAAGAGAGCAGAAATGATAGCACATTATTCCAGCCTTGCTTTACCTTAAACACACCCTGGTGTCATTTTCAGCCACTTTACAACGTTCTCCCAGCTGGAATTTTTTCCTCAGGCATTTTGGTAAGAATTTTTCAAATTCCAAAATAGTCCTGGCTCTCTAGTGGCAGTAAACAGTAAAATGAGTACGGTTAGCCATGGTCTGATTTCACAGCATAAGTTTGCAACAGGCCAAGCCTCCACCCACACCCAACACCAAAACCAGCAAATCACTGAAAATTTGTGCAAATAGGAATTCAGATTCCTGAAAAAATAGTGAATATATCATCCTGTGATATATCCTGGGGAAAGAAAGTCATGACAGTGCATGAGTTGAAAATCCAAACCTTTAAGATTGTTCATTCCAAAGTTCCTACAATTCTCCAATACTGGACTTATTTATGTCTATTATTCATGCAAAACCAGATGAGGATTTTCTTTAACACTTAACCTGCTGTGTCAGCATGAGGATTTTAGCCCAAGCACCTCCCAGATTCCCAAACCAACCTGAAGTTTCCAGATGTGCTCACTCTCCTTAGAAATATCCTCCACGGTTTCTCCCATTAATGCAATCAGCATGTTCAAGAGAAGAACAAAAGTCAGCACAACGAAAGTGATGAGGAGCAGGAGGAACAGGACAGGGTACTTGGAGTTCTGCTGGATCTCCAGGTCACCCAGCCCCAGGGTGAGCTTGAACAGATCCATCAGGACAGGCCCCAGGCTGCTGTTGGAGTGGCATTCCCCACCCTCCTGGCACGTCTCAATCAGGGCAGCCAGAGCTGAGAAGGAAGCACAAGGAAGTTTCAGTCACAATCATTATTTAGGAATACAGGCACTTCATCCCAAAGAATTCAAACTGCTCAAGGGAGCCAGAGCTGCCCAGGCACACAGAGCAGCCAGGGGACAGCTCCAGGAGGCAGAAGGAGCCCACATCAAATGAGATTCCAGGGATTTGAGACCAAGGCAAATCCGTTCACACCTAAACTTAACATCCAGAAGAAACCCCAACATGAGCTCTCATGAAAACAGGGTTCTTATTCATAATAATGCTAAAATTTTTACTCACACAGAGCATCAGTGCTTTTCTCCAGTGATATTTACCTACACCAAATCCCAGCAAAAACACGATGTACACAACTAAAAACTTGATCACATCTTGCAGGATGACCTGAAAATGGGATGAAACAATTGACAGAAATTAAAATTCAGAACTAGCTTTGTGCTTTTGAATTCTGCAGGGATACAGGTGAGGCACACACTAAAGCATCAGACTGCTTTCCTTGAGCAAACAAACCCAAAGGTCTGATTTTTCATCTCAAGCCTGATGTGCTCTCTGAGAGTGACTAATTCTGTACAATACAGACATTACAGATTATGATGCAATTAAATTGCAGAACTACATTAGCTGGAAAAAACACAAGCTACTCACATATTTAATGTAATAAAAATGTCAATATTAAGATACAAACTAGTTCCTGCTGTTGAAGAAGAACAAATATTGTGTTCTACTGTAATAATGCATAAAACTGGAAATAAGGAATTAAAAAAAAAGAACTATAAAATACATATAAAAGAAAAACTTGCCTTTTGTATCATCACACTGTAAATGCCCATGGACTGGAAACCTCTGGTGAAATAGAGCATATTGGCCCAGCCAAGGGCCATTGCCAAAACAAGACACACCAGGTGTTCTTTGTAGGAAAACAAGTACAAAAAGACAGAGAAGATCACAAGCAAAGCTTGTATAAAACTGTTAAAAAACAAACATATATGTAAAAGAGAAATTACTAGCACAAAACCAACAACAGAATGGAAAAATATGAAAACAAGATTTCTTTGCTCTTTAGGCTTAATTTCTAATTTCATGCTGCTTTTTTATTCTCCCCATGAAATTGGCATTATAGTTTAATGATAAAATAGGTCAGTGCAAGCAGTATGATTATATTAACATATAAGGGTTATATTTATTAAACTTAATTTAGGTAAACTATTCTCCCCAAAACAGCTGCTCAATGCAGATATTGCTGAGAGAATTGTAAGAATCCTTACAATATCTCAGAAGCCATTTAATTGCAGCTTTAGCTTAATGAATTTATAGAATCAGTACAGATTTTCCACAAACAGGGAAGACACTGGCAGGAGGGAAAAATCCACTCCATGCACATCAACCCTGGCATTGTCAGTGACAGTGGAACCAAGTTTGTGTTACAGAACAGCTGCAGGCAAACTTACATCCATCCCTCTAAAACTCATAATTTGGAGGGGGAAAAGTGAATATCTGCTACAGGAGCACATTCGCTGTGACCATGAGATAAAGAATTTTATATGTAGTAGAAAAAAAATATATATATACATGTCAGACTTACAATGCAAAGTGGAACCAGGCATCAGAGAGAATGGACTGCAGGTCTGAGGGCCTGAGCAGGAAGATGGCCACACTCTGTGCAGGCAGAAACAGAAAATGCAGGCATGGTGAAGAGAAAAGAGACCTCAAAATGTGTTTTTCAAAATAATTTAACTGGTGTTCTGAACTATTCCATCTACTGGTAAGATGTGGCGACTTCTAGAATTAATTTTTTATAGGGCTGTAAATTCAAAGGTTAAAATTCTGTCGTCTCTGGCACAATTTAAGTTACTGTTTTTAATTACTTACATGGCAGTATTGTACCATGGGATTTGTTTTTCATTACAACTTGCAATTATTTTGTCCTTAAAGCCAATGATTTGACAATACTTATATAATACAAATATCAGCTCTCTGCACTGACAATTTGAAAAGAATTTGAAAAGCAAGCATCCTTATGTTTGTTTCCCATTTGTAGTCACATATATAACCAGGGTCATTCTGAATAAGTGATTGTGCCAAAGATTTGAAAATTACACATATCAAAGACACTCCATGTGTATTCCCAATATCAGCAGCAGCATATTCATAAATTTAGAGAAGTTCTTTACAAATTAACTGTGTGTTTGTTACTAAAAAACCCAAATCTTACCTCTTTTATGGCTAAAAATATTGCTCCTAACATAACCATCACCTGTCCTGACAACTGCAGCCACCCCACACCTCGGGTCAGAGCCAGGGGATAAGGAGGAGCCTGCAGAACAAATCCAGAATGAAAATCTCAGTTCTATCCCTGAAGGGTGAAAGGCAAAGCAACAGAAACCCTCCCACCTCTGGGTTCACAATTTCTCCCCTTCCAGGGACAATTTTCTGGATGTATTTATACAATCACCCCCTAAGAGTGATGTTTGAAATACCAGAAGTTTCTTTCTTAAAGGAAAACCAAAATACACTCTTTCCTTCAGAAATTTCAGTCTTTGTATCATTTATTTGCATTTTAGGTCACTTCCACAAAATGCAAATCTGATGCTCCCACTCTGGTGTGGGGACGTGGTCTCTCTGTACCCAGATATTCCAATATCTGGCCTTGTTTTAGCATTTTAAACCCAATTCAGGAAATACTATTGCCTTTGAAGTCAGTACATTTGCTGAGGTTCAGCTGCTGTACTCACTTCATTTTCATTGGGCCTGTGGTAGGAAACCAATGTTAATGTTACATTGTACAGGAAATAAAAACAGCAGGACATGAAGAACATGTGCCGTGCAAACTTCTTCCACTTCATCCTCAGCAGGGAGTTCAGAGGCTCCAAAGTCAGCATCTCGTGACGATTCTGAGGAGGGAAAAAAATAAATAAATAAAATAAATATTTCAACTCGCTGCCTGTAAGGAAACTGAATTTTAGGTGTGAATTTTGTGTATTTCACTCCATGCTATCCTTGCTGCCCTAGAAACACCTCTGTGCTCAGGGATGTGCCAGACCTCCCTGGGATGGAAAAGACACTTCCAAAATAACTCACCTGTGTTGCAGGAGCTGGATGCATATTTGCTTATAGCTGACATTGTGCAGCAACATAAAATTTATCTTGCTCCTGATACAAAAACTGAGAAATAAATATTACTGTCCACAAGTAATTCAGTTGTTTGCAAGGCTGACAATTCTAATATGGGGATACTGCTAGAAAAAAAAATTATATTTTAACATAAATTCGAATAGTTTATTATTAGATTAATCATTATATTATAGTATTATAGTAGTATTCTTCTATATTTCATAATGTAATATTTTATTATAATAATACTTTATTATATTTTTATAATATAATAAAATATTTTAGATAAGAATAGGCAACTTACCCCAATATTTGTATTATAGACAATGATTTCCAGCACTGAGTTGTCAGCAGTGGTGTCCAGCTCTGTCAGGTCATACAGAGAAGACTGAACAGGACCATAAGCCCAGTCTGTGAATTTTCTTGACAGGCTCCTGTTTGGCTTCTCTCTGATCTCTCTGCTCAGGATGTACTTCAGAATCTAAAACATGAACAGATGATTTGTCAGCAGCTGTGCTGTTCAGGGAAAGGACAAACACATGAATACATGAATTGCCCAAACTCTCTCCTTTTATCTGCAGCATTTTGTACAGCTCTTCAATTTCATGTATTTGTAATTTTGTTATTCAGTGAGGGGTGCTGGAGGTGAAAAACCTCTAAGAAATAAGTTCAGTGTTTTTAATGCCTTCAGATTTTCTACCAGAGAGATTTTTCTAAAGGATGAAAGCACAGTTTTCCCTGTGTTCATTTATGCCTTCCTTGAACTTAATTCCTTTCTAAATCATCCCAGTGCCAATTCTTTACACTGCAGTGGATTTATGCAAACCAAACTCTACAGCAGTCCAACAGAGCAGTTCTAGTGAGATTTCTGAACTGTTTGGGGGTAAATGCAGAATTTCTGTACAACAGAAGGCTGGTTCTAAACAGCTTGTGTAGTTTGTACAGAGAGGGAGTTAAAGAGAAACCTGGAAGCATTAAAACAACCCTGCAATGGAAATATTTGTTTTTTGAACAAAATTAGCTCACTAATACTGATACAAAACAGCATAGCCAGCCTGGAAAGAGATCTGTGGGAGCACAAGCTTCTCTTAGATGCTGCTGAAATCACACCCACCTCTAATTTCCCAGTTTTTGCAGCTAATTGCAGCGGTGTCAAACCCTCCTTATTCTTGGTTGTTTCCAGATTTCTGTCTTTACTTCTCAGCAGGATCATGTCATACATTCTGATCACAAAGTCATTCTGTGTTTTGGAGTCCTCTGCCACGGTCACTAATGCATGGAGGATGTTGTTTCCTCTGGAATCCTGAGAGGAAATATTGGTCCTGGCATTGTCCATCAACAGCTCAATTATGTCTGGCTGGTTGGTACATGCTGCCAAAGCCAGTGCAGTCTCACCTGCAGAATCACAAAATGCAGCAAGTAGTCGTGGTTTATTTCATCAGAATAGAAAATATTGTGTTAAGCATCTTAATATATGAAAGCACATTTATATATTGATGGTACTGGATTAAGCTCTTGGTTTATGGAAGTTTTGGGTATTCCTTGATAACTTTTCCAGAAATATCTCAATTCCACTTACCAAAATAAAAGCCTTCATGCTTGTGTTTGGGATTAAAGAAAATACCCTGGGCATGAGCATTGACATCAGCTCCTTTCTCTATGAGGCTCTGGGTGATTTCATACTGTCTCCTCTCAATGGCAATATTTAGAGCTGTCTGGCCTGAAAAAGCAGACACAGGAATTTGGGGCTGAGTCTCTCAAGCACACTCTGAAACATTAATGATGTTTCACAAAAGATGGCACCAGTGATAATGAATAAAAGTTGGTTCAAGGGATTTAAACCATAATTATTTTATGGAGATTATGTTTAACCATATACCTGAAACTGCTATCAGATGGCAATACCTTTATATGCCTCTTCTGTGTATGCTGCATTGATAAATCTCTCCAAAATGCCATTTTCCTCTGCAAAGGACAGGAGCATGTTCACTATCTCATTTGTGTTCTGGTTGATGTTCAGCAGAGCTTTCATCAGACAAGTTTTGCCAGTGTCTGAAGCTGTGAACTTCTTCATCAGGTAATCTACAAGAGTGAATTTTGAGATTAGATCATTGTTATTTATTAAACTTCTGCTCATTAGGGGTGAAACCTGATGGATATAGATGAACACAAACTATTTGCCAAACCATGACTTCATCCTGTTTACTTCTTTCTTGAGCACCAAGGCAACCTTGGTGTTCCTGTTGGACATCCTGGTGCCATAACTCCCAAATTCCGAGGGAAGTAAAGATCATTCCCAGGGAAATAAATATAATTCCCAGGGTAATAAAGACCATTCCCAGGGAAAAAAAAGACCATTCCCAGGTTTAGGCTGCCCCTGAGCTGCCAGAAGAGCTGTCAGCCCTCCCCTGATGCCTTGTGAAGGCTGACCTAGAACAGAGACTAGATGGAGGTAAAGAATAAAGCAGGGATTTATTCAAAGGATCTCCTCCATGGATCCACCTTGGGCAGCACAAGAGCCCAGCCAGGGCTGCACCCAAGATGAACCAAAATGGTCCCAAAATGCACGAGCGCTCACGGGGTTTCTCACTTTGATCAGTTCTGCTCCATTTACATATTGGAGCTAATTATCCAATTACAGCTTTAGATTATGAAGTCCCATCCCTCTTGTTTTTCTCTCTTCAGCCCACATGGGTTCTGCTCTTGGGCCTGAGATTTGGATCATTTCTCCTTGGTCCCCAGCTGGAGAAGGAATTGTTTCATCTCCCTGCTCTGTGCAGAGACCTCACCATCCCCTAACACAAAGCTCAGAACTGCACACTAAAGCAGTAGAGAATCTAAAAACCACAAAATCCAGCAGGTGAGGCAGAGGCTGGGTGCCTGCAGGGCTCACCTGGCACGGGCAGGGAGGTGCAGGCCCGCGCGCGCTCCCCGAGCTCGGCCAGCAGCCGCTGCAGCTCCTCGGCGTTGCCCTCGGACACTGCCCGGAACAGGTTCCTCTTCAGCTTCTTCCTGGCACTCCTCAGCTCAGGGCCTGGGCACGTGGTAGCACTGGATTGTAAGAAATCATCGTGAAGTTGCTGGTGTAATTCATCCTGGTTTGTTTTATTTTTAAGAAGGGTAAAAGCAAATACAATAGTTGGCCCCAGACTAGATGAACTTGCCTCGCTGCCATGGATTTAATTTAATTTCTCACATTGATCATTTGCAGTTAAGTGGGCTGTTGAGAGGCTGCTTTATTATAAACAGCACATTTTTCAAGTATTTTTTGTTTTATTCAGTTTATCCATTCCTCTAGAATAAAGGCTAAGGAACACTTCTTTGCTCTGCCACGACTGACTGCAGTGCTGAGGTTACCTGGGGCTGCTCTCACAGCAGAAGAGAGATCTTAACCTCACATCTTACACCACTTTCTGATCATCCTTTCTTCTGGAAAAAGAATGATTTCATATTTCCCCCAAGCAGAAATACTCCATGCCTGGTTGTGGTGTGTGGGTCCTGCGTTGCCATCTAAAAACACCCATTTTATATAAAGAATCCTCACACTAAATATGAAAATTGAGAGATTAGAGTTGTATATTTCAATATTTAATAATTAAAGGATCAGAAAGGCATGCACACACGACTTTTTTTTAAAAAAAAACATGCCAGGAAAAATAGGTAATATCTACCCTTCCACAGTCTGAATCAATTGAAAAAGTGCTGAGAAATATTTGTGTCTCCACTCACCCACAGCTGTCCACGTTAGGGCTGTATTCAGTGGCATCATCCTGAAGGGACTGGGGAGAATCCATGTCTTCCCCATTTGCAGATGCACTGCAGAGAAAGAAAAGCAAAATGTGCCAAGATATTAGCAGGTATTTTGGTAAATTGCACGAAGGACCAGTCAGGTAGGTTAGAGTATCTGCACTAGAGCTTAAATTAGTCCAATTTGACATTGGCCTTTTAATTCTATCATTTTATCTCCCACATGGATTTTAAAGTGAGTGATAAAAATGAAGAGACTCACAGGATTTCATTATATTTTCAAAAAGACCACATTAGGAAAGCAATCTGCTTTGTGTTTTATTATTTCACTACAGATCCTGAAACCGTGGGAACTTTTTCTTTTCTTTTTAATGATCACTGCTTTTTATACATCACCCTGCATGCTTGAAGCTTGCATTCTTCCCTTACCATGCTTAATTTGTCATCTGGCACAAAACAAGTGCTAAATCAGTAGCAGTGAGGGGGTTGCAAGCCCACAATGAAAGATTTACCTAAAGATTTACTACACAGAACACTGGAGGCAATTCAGGAGTGTTTTGTGCCTGACTTGAATGAAAGAAATTGAGGACTGGGCCCTAAATAGATGTGTAGGTGATATATTTAAAGGATTTTCAATGGAATTGATATTTTGTAATTGCTGAACATAATTTCCACACAGTCTTAAAAGCAGATCTGACTTAGAAAAATTAAGATAAATGAGTTTCTTACTTGTATTATTGTTTTCTCTAAGGTTCAGTTAGGATGAACTACCTCAGGTTAATAATTTAGTGAACCTGAGCTATTAATTACTGGCAAAACAGATGCATGGACAGCACTGCTCTGCAGGTATTCCCTTCTCTTTGAAATAAATCTGGGAGCTCTGAGTCCATTCCTAATCTATCTGTGTCTCCTTTGCAAAAAGCTGAGTAATATGGTGACAAAGCACATGTGCAGGTCACTTCCTGAATGACAGGGGGAAATTTGGACACCTCTCCTCTGAAACCAAAATCAGCCTGTCAGCCAATTCCTAAAAGCTGACCAGACATCCTCAGCCACAAAAACCTTTGGCCATTCTGGGCCTGTGCCTGATTTGTGACATATTTCCCTTACTCATAATTATTGGTTGTTAGCACTCTGCACATTTTTTAAAATTAAATGTATTCTCAGTCGTAATTTTTGTCTATTCATTCAGCATAAATGGCTGCTTTAAATATTTCAGATTCAGCATTTCCACGTTTGATTGTTAATGAGCAATAGAGGGAAGACGTCAGCAGCCAGCTGGGAACAGCTAAATTAGGCTGTGGTCTTCACACAGCAGAAAACACCCATATGAGAGCATGGAGTTTGTTCTAATAAGAGGCTAAGATTAAAAAAAATACTAATTTTAAATTTATTCAGATCTGAAGCCTGATTTATTCCATAGAAACGACAGCAGTAGATAAAATCAGAGATAAGTCTCCAGTGAAGTTCTGTCTTTGAAGTGACCAAAAGCTGTAAAAAGTCAGGTGAAAACCTGGCACTGAGGCCCAAGGAGAATTGAGGGGAAGGGGCTGGCAGAAAATGGATATATTTGCAGCAGGAGCATTGCTTGTGCATCTGGAACTTACCACGGGCGAATGTTGGAATCCATGGGCTTGGAAAACACGGGGGGAGAGGTGTTATTGGGACTGGCATTGCTTTCAAAACCATCAATCTCCAGGAAAAAGTGGGAACTGTTGAAGACAGTGCATTTTAAAAAGTATCAGTGATAAAAGGCAAGCCCAACCATAAACCAAGAAAAGAACTACCAAGGGCAAGCTTGATAATTTATCTCTCCTGGCATTAAAGCTGAGCTGGAGCTGAGGCTTATCTGCTTTCCCTGAGGGGATCCCAGCCTGTGCCCAGCTCTTCCAGGCTGGCAGATGGGCAAAATTCCCAAGGTATTTTTGGAACACATGGCATCAGATCCTGACATGTGTGAGCAGCAATCTCTAAACCAGCCTTGCACCCAGTTCCTGTCACTGCACAGCCACACAAAAATGATTTTTTTTAAAATCCCAGTCTCTGCTCTTCCAGCCAGGAGCCGTCAGGATGGAAGGATGGATCATTTCAAACAGTGATAGTAATTAAATCAGAAAGTTTGAAAGGTCACACGTTCAGTGACATCAGGCATTTCCACCAGCCAGGGCTAGATGTGTCCCCTTGCCTGCATGACATTTAATTGTTTTCCCTATAAATAATTATATAAATATTGATAGTGAAAAGAAATAAAATTTGGAACAACACAGGCAAAGTGATATGAAAAGAAAGATTTCACCTTTTAAAACCCTGCAGAGTTGAGAGGCAAAAATCAATGGCTTGGTTTTACTGGATCTCAGTAAAACATTGCTACAGCTCCCACAGGCAGAGGAGATTCAGGGGTGGATGCAGCTACTCCCACAGGGGCTGCTGTTCAGAAACTGCCTTACATCTCTAAAATGTTCCAGTAATCACCTGGAAAACCTTTCCAATTCACCTGGTATTTATGGGTTTGTCCATAGGGCATTTCTTATCTAACTGCACTTGCAAGAAGATTTTTTGGGGAACATGAAGTAGTTGCATTGATGGTAAAATGAAAAAAAAGAAAAAAAAAAAGAAAATAAAAAGAAGTATTATTTAAAATGGTATTATTAGGACACTGAAAAACCTGCTGATATTTGTTCACCTCCTTTTCCAGTGGCTCCATGATCCAGGTGTTAATTCTGCACCCAACAGCTGTGCCGCCCCTGGGAAGGGAACCCAGCTTTGGGGGCTGACAGAGCTCACCTCTCCTGGCTTGGGGTTACCTGTGCTTGTCAGGGGAGGGCAATGACACCCCAAAGCCACCGTGCAAAGCAGGGTGCCCTCAAATAGCCAGGTGCTGACGTGGCTGGGTGCTCTGCCCACAGCCACCAGCAGCTCTGGCAGCCTCCCCACCCTCCCTCCCCTCGCATTTCCTGTGCTGCATTACACCCCAAACACCCCAATTCCAGGGGCTTCCAGCAGGGAATGCCACTGCCTGTAAGAAAGTGAATATTGAGAGTGAGAAATGCCACGCTGGGAGTGCAGCAGCTCTGCTGGGGCAGGGGAGGGAGAGTTTTGAAGGAACAGCATGGAGCAGCGTTGGAACACATAATTAATAGCATGTGTTAAAGCCCTGCATTAAAATCCACGTGATGTGGGTGCTGCGTGTTGCAGGAATGCTGCCAGCCACACCCTGAGCTCTGGCTGGAGAGGTGGGAAAAACCCCAGGGTTCCTGTTCCTGAGGCCACAAGGAGTGTGAGATTGGGGCTCAGTAATTGAGGGCTTGGCTTTGGCAATGTTCCTGTAACTCCACAATCTGCCAGGGAATTGCCCCTTTTGAAGTGCTGGGTGTATCATGAGCTGTTCAGACACTTTGTCTCTCCCCATATGCCACCAAAGAGCTTCTCTTCTTGAATTTAATGACGACAAGAGAAATTGGACCACCCAGGCAGTGGATCTCAAATAACTAATGGCACCATTCCCGTGAAAAGTGATTCCTCTGATTATTGAGAATTATAAATGTCAGAACAGCCACAAATGGCCAGGCCTTCAGAGTTTCAGAAATTGCCATAATAACCAGTAATTATTCAGAATGAGAAGTTTATGAATGAAAATTTATCCTCACTCTACAGTAACTTAGTTGACTTCATAGTATCAGGCAGGAATTACAGCTCCATATTCCCCATTCATATTAAATACAAACCCTCAATTCCTTTATTAATTCTCTAATATTAATTATGAATGAAAGTGAATATTTTATAAAACAAAAAAAAAGTCTCATTAATCAGACTAATGAAAAAGAGAGTGAATTTAGGTTTCTGTTTGTGACAGGATTTTTCAAACCTCCTGCTCTCCCTGCCCTCAGCCTCTCCATAGCCTCAAATATGGAAATGTGACAGATTAAGTTTGAAATGCTTCCTTTTTTCAGGCCAGCCTCTTACATAAAACCTGGTGTGTTCTTCCATGTGATCTCTTAAAAAGATCACTTCATACCCAACATTAACCATCATTAGATCAGATTCTTGTGAGGTTACACAGAACAAAGGTGTTGGAGGTGTTTCAGTGCAAAGATCTAAAGGAGATAAAGCAGGGAGTTTTAGTGGTTTGGGCTGAGCTCAGTCCTACCTTTTCTTGGTGGGAGTGCCTTCAGTCACCTTTTTCTCTTGCTGGTTTGCAGGGGGATTTCCAGGCGGGTTTGTTTTCTTGCCCATTAGTGGAACAATTTCGTTGTTATCTTTAATCATGTTTCTGCAGTAGGGAGACATCAGTTACTTGGGTCCTGTTCCTTTGAAGGAAGTGTGGTGACCAAATTACCTGTTTACAGTCTCTTCAAGTGTAAACACAAATATTGATTTTTTTCCCCCCAAGTTTCTCTTTTTCAGCTGTTAAGGTCACACCTCCACCATTTCATGTGTCAAATCTGGAGGGTTCCACACATGACTCATTAAATTTCAGTCTATGACAAGTGACATTAAAAGTGGTACCAGGAGAACCATAAATTCAAGCCTGTGCCCAAATTAAACTGAAGGGAGCCTGTCAGTCCCAGTGACTGTGTGTGTGATTTAGAGAAAAACAAGGATGACTTTTTAAAGTAGCCTTAAAGTTGGGCATCTTTTCAGCTAATCTGAGCAGTCTGCTCTTGACCAAGATAATTTCAGAAAATGGTAAATCCCAGGAAGATCTGTGCAACAGCAAACAGATAAAGGAATGTTCCAGATGTGAAAAGAACAAAGAAAAATCCCTGAAAGTTTTCACTGCATTGGAACAGCAAAAGCAGCAGACTGAAAATGATGCCCAAGGTGAGCTCAGCTAAATTATCACATGGATAACATCCAGGATTATTTGTGTCCTGGTGATTTCCCAATATTTCCCCAGGAAAAAGAAACAACCCCATGATTCTGCTGGAGGGAATGACCACCAGCACATGACACAAAAGGATCTTGATGCAGTTACCTGCCTAGGAACACCCACAGCATGAATTCTGTGAGGAATAATGAATAACTATCTCCCTGTTTCTCAATCTAATACTCAAGGGCATCATTTTAAATGGCTCAGGATAATTTGAAAGCAAGAAGGTGAACTCAGGATACATTAAAATTCACTGAAGGTACACCCAAGGAGATTTATGAGGTCAGGGATCCATTCCCAAGGAAATCAGGGGAGTGGCCTCCATACCAAAGGACAAATGGTAAAAATAATTTGCCTACAAAGTTTAAGCAAAATCAACCACACATTTTCCCCCCTCCTACTCCACTTTCCTTGATGTGACAAATGTACACACACATATTTTCTGCTCCTGTCACAATGCTGTCAGTGTGCCTTAGCACCAGGATCCCTTCATTCTGGGAGTATCAAGACACAGAAAGCAGATTGTTCAGAGTGTTTGAAAAGACATGACACCTGGTGTGAGAGAGGAGCCAAGAATATCAAATACGCTGGTATTGGAGTGAAAGTCTATTAATGCATAAACAACAAATGTTTAATTATGGCAATTTTCAATCCCAAGTACAGAGAGCTGAGAATTTACAGGGTCCAAACACTGCTAAGTGCAGCTGTAATGTCTTGGCACTCTGTGGAAGAGGAACTTGAAATATTGGAAAGGACTCCTCACCTTGCAAAGGCTGGCTGAAGAAACAGGCATGAAAATAATTTTTTATTGTGTTTTCTACCATTGGCAGGTGTGTTCATACTAGGAGACATTCCTAGTTTGGATGAATTCCCTAAGAATTCATATCACAGCTTTCATAGAAATAATTTATAAAGGGAAAAATATTTTTGCATACAAAGTACACCACAGCTTCTAGTAAATGCAGAGAAGAGCTGAATTTGGAGATGACACAGTGGAGGTGGGAAGAGGGGCTTTGTCTGTGCCACTGGAAATGTCACTCACGTAGTCCCCAGGACACGTTGTGTCACTGAACACACTGATAAACATTTAGTCTAAACACAGCTAAAACAAGTGACTGTTGTCCTGCTTAGTTCATAAATAATTCTGCTATTTACTCCTCACAAAGTACTTAAAGAATACAAAGCAGAGTGTGGGCAAAGACATCTCCCATCCCAGGGAAGAGGCAAATGGGATGTTTGACATAAATCAAATCAAAGGGGACCATGGTGGGGATGGACATTAAATAGCTTCACAAAATGAGTGACTTTAAAGGAGGAGAATAGTTGGGAACACATTAAAAAAGTCCAAAAGCCAACAAAAGGAGTTGCCAAGTTGAGAAGGGCTCAGTTGGGGGGGGTGTGAAGTCAGAGGGATGAGAGAGTAGAATGAAGAGCCGGAGGAATAAAGATCAAGTTCAACTCCTAAATTCCTCTTGTTTCTGAGTGATGCTGGAGCTGCTCAGAGATGGCAACACCTCCCTGCAAGGGCAGCAGCTCCAGCCCCATTTTCAGAGATTTTAGCACAGAGATTTTAGCAGTGACTCGAGAACAGGCTGCACCTCTGAGGAGAGGTGGGAAATAACCCAACAGAGCCCTGGAGATGTGTTGGATGATGGACTGCTGAGCCACAGTGATGTAAGGAAGCAGTTTGGGAAGGAAAAAGAGGACAGATTTCCTGAAGTACAGAGGGACTACGCTTTCAAAAGCACAGAGATGTGAGTGTATGCCAGCCAAAAAGTCTATTTAAAATGAGATTTTAATCAGCCTGCCCAAGTAAATAACTGCAGGCACCATAGCAGAAGTACCTTGCTACAGTGCTGAGGCAGCGTCTGCCTCATTTTTAATCACAATTAATTGTATGCTGAGATGAAAACTAAGCTGGGCTTTCAGCAGCAGCTTCCAGTGCACTGTCATTTTCTGTAATCTCTGACAGAAAGAGAAAAATAGTGCAGCAGCCTGAACAGTGTCAGATCTAAGCAGTGTAGCTTATGTAACCTGATACAGAGTGTTGTCTTTGGTTGTAACTATTTTCTACTCCCATTATCTCCTTAATTGTCACTTCCAGGCCACCAGAGAAGTGGCTTGTGTGAAGTGGCCAGCAAGACAAAACCCCTGCATTGATTTATAGCATCAAGAATGACTTTGAAAGGGATCTGAGGAGTTGGTATCTAACCTCCAGTGTGCTGGGGGTAAGAAAAGGGAATTTATCTGTGATGGTGAATGGGATTCTGCCATTGCTACACATTAGCACAGACTCACCTTCTGCTTATCTGAGAGCAAGAACAATCACACGTATCTGTATCTGTACATCTCAGTAACAGTTTATAGGACATGGCTAAAGAGAGAATCCTACAAATCAGAAAAACACTCAGCTGTGATGTTGTGGCACAAAGGTCTCCCCTTCCCTGGGGGCAGAGGAGGGGAGGTGACTTCCAGGAGCTGTTTCATTCACAGGCTGCTCAGAACAGACCATGGCACTTCCAGCACCTACAACTCAATTCTTATTGCCCCATAAAAAAAAAAAATAATACCCCTCTCCAAGGGGAAAGCTGATAAAAATTCATTCTGATTTTTCTGCATTATTTATGAGTCATATCAGCAGAAAGTTACACTTGTTAGGAAGAGCTTCATCTTAAAAACCTGTAAGATTTTTAAACTTTTGAGGAGCATTCAAAGACTTCAGGTGCTACCAAGAATGCTCTTCTTTGGTGAGAAATTTTCACTTTCCTATGAAGATTATTCCTAACAGAAAATTTTTAAGAACTCTGAAAAGCAACAATATGCTTTCAGATTATTTACCTGCCTATTTCTGAATTAAATAAAAAGAAGGGTTTTTCTGAGTTGAAATAACTTATTCTGTACCTTATATTTGACTTTCAGTGGTCACTACAGTAGCTGAAACTTTTGGTGGAAGCTGATGAATGTATTAAAGTTATGATATTATATTTTGGATCCCCTTGGCACAGGAATTAGGAAGTGCAACAGTGTTCCAGGCTGACAAACACAAGTTAAATCAGGCCTGTCCTTCTTCACTCCTGAGTGCCCAAGGAAACAGCACAGCCCAGGAGAGCCATTTACAGAGTAGAAGAACAGAAAGAAGCCCAACAGAAACACATCCTCAGTGTGGAGGATCATTTACAGAGTAGAAGAACAGAAAGAAGCACAGGGCTCCACCTCTGTCTCTGGAAGATTTCACCCCCAAACACCTCGGAGCACTCACCCTGCTCACAGCACCTCCATGTCGGCGTGGACGGATCCGGGCGCTGAAAACCAAAGCAAGGCCCTGCTGACAACATCCAAAACTCATCTGCCAAAGCAGCAAAACCACAGCCAGGCTCCAGACTACCCCAAAAACACAAAAGCAGCCTGCTCCAGGTATCCAGTGTGCTCAGCTGGGGAGCAGAGCCGGGGGAGCGCCGAGGAACCGCGGCCGCGCCGAGTTTGCTCCATCTGAAATTAGGAACAGGGAGAAACTGGCCAGGCAACAACTCCTGACTCCAGAGCTGCTAAAGTGGGATGACACACAGGCAGTAATTACACACTGGAGTGTTACTAAAGCTGGGTTGCTCACAGGTGACTTCATGGCAGCAGTGGAGTATCTCAGGTGATTGCTGCTCTGCTGCTTGCAAAGGAAAATGGTTGTGCAGCTGCATTTGGGTTGTAAATGACACCTTCGTGTCATGCTCGGTTTATTACATAGCATGAATCTACTCAAGGCAGAAAGCAAAAACAAGGAAATGATCCTAAGTGCTCCAGCAAGCAAAAATGTTTGCTGTTACTCCAAAATTTTACAAACTACGTTCAAAAATCTTGTAATTGCACAGTGCTGTCAGGGAAAATGTGGTGGGTGTGTTTAAATTTTTCCCTACCTGTAAAAGTTTTTAATGAATTTGTCCCCACAGGGGCTGTGGGAACACAACCAGTTGGGTTTCACATCCCTGTGACAGGCAATGGCTTTTCTCAGCTTTTCTACTTTGGAGCTGTTGAGCAATGATGAATGCAGAATTCTGGTCTGGGACGTGCCAGAAGAGTGACCATGAGTTCCTCTGCTCTTTTTATAGAATCTTTGCATTGTCACCAGAAATAGGATGTGAAGAACTCCTATGTCTTTGCAGTCAGACCTGCAAGGTGTATTTACAGCTGCTTGTCTTGAGTTAATTATTAGATAGGAGTTTAAGAATAACTATGTAGGCAGCAAAACAGGAATCTTTTTTCAGCTGTAGACAAGGGCAAAAAGAAGTCAAGTTTGGGTGGAGGAGTTTTGTTAGGAGATAGGTCAAAATTTGGAAGTAAAACCAAAATAACTTTGGCTACTCTAACATAGACATTTTAATCCAAAGACTGTGGCATTAAAATACATCTACAAACTGAAGGTAAGCTCCTCCTGTTCATAAATTATCTTTAAAAACAGGTCTGCTGGGTGTTACATTTGCCTGAGACCTTGTGTGAAATGCCAGGAGCACTGCACAGCTCCTGCCCATGAATCAGCTCCCAGGAGCTGCGTGGGGAGAGGGGCTGTGCCCAGGCTGGTTGGGTTTGGCACTGGGGATCCCTCTGCTTGGAGGGGCTGAGCACACATCCAGCTCTGCCTGACAAATTCCTGCTCTGCTCCAAAGCCTGTGCCAGGAAATGTTGTTCACATCTTGCCAAATGCCTGAGCTAAGCTGTGACAGCCCAGAGGCAGCTGCTTTGATGGTCTTTTAGTGTAAGAACCTGGAATGAGGACTGGATCCTGCCATTCCCTCCTGCCTGGGACAGCACCAGCTTGGTTCTCAACACAAACTGCAAGGAACTGTTTAATTGAAGTCACTCTGAGGGTGGAAATAGGCAAAGCCACATCAAATCTGGGTGAAGGTGCATTTGAGGACTCTTGCTTGACCTCTGATCAACCACAGGAACAGAAATCCTTTTGCTAAGGAAGGGAAATGAGTTTGGCAGCAAGCAGGACTTTGAACTTGGAAAGCAGCTATATCTGAAAGCCCCCAGAGCTGTGGGGTTTAGCAGAACACAGCACCCAGCAGCAAGGCCTATTTATAATGTTGTGGCAGCTGTCCAGAGAGGAAAAACTGGGACAAGCAGCAGCAAGAGAGGCAGAGCCCTGCTGCCCAGGAAAGGTGCAGGGACTGCAGGAGCTGTGAGCAGCTCACAGCAGCTCCACTCCACCCTGCCTGTGAGCAGGATGGCAGCCTTGACCCCCTGAACCCCAGGGTGACCTTTCCTCTCAGATTTGGGGAGCAGGAGCCCTGCCTGGTTCTGGCTGATCTCCCTGAAAAGAGAATTTTGGGGTGCTGTGAGCCTGAGCTGGGCTGCTTGTGAGGACAGACTTGAGGGGCAGGAAATGAGAGGCAGAGCTACTGCCAGTCACATCTGTGCAAACATTTTCTTCCAGTTTTAAGCATTAACCTGCTCAGCCTTTTTGTTCCCTGCTCCACCCTGATGTTTCTGACAAGGGCAGCATTTTTCAGGAGCTGTGGAGGGTTTTGCAAGAGGATCTGTCATGACCATTTTATGGAGTTTTACAGCAGTCACCAGCTGCTCCAGCTACTGAAGAGATGCCATAAGGGCCAACAACATTAATAACATGCATCTCCTATTAAAAATTACTTGAAAATTCCAGCTTTGGACAGTCTGTGCAGCACAAATAAGCAGCAGAAGCCCTATATGGCATTATTTTGTTTTCCTAGCAAGTGTTAGACTCAGTGGAAACCAAAATGAACAAGATGAAGGAAAGCCCAGATGGGAGGGAATGAGCATTTGGAGATCTTCCATCTGACATCAGCGAGTCAGAGCAGCATTTGCTCTTCTGCTGATACAGGACACCATCCCAGGCAAACTCACATTAGAAATTTTTCAGATTTTATATTTAATTCTGTGATATCCAGTCAGAGTCACTTAGAGGAAAAGCCACTCTCTAAATGCATTTTTGACCTTGGGTAACATCAAGAATTGTAAATTACTTATTGTCATCATTCCATTCCCCAAGCTCCTTAAAAATAATCCAGAATATGAGAATTAAAACACTGAGCACACCAGTAGCAGCCCACTTCCCCTGAGCATAGTGTTTAATTGATTCACAGGAGTCTCCCATGATTTTTCACTGTGCTTTCCTCACCCCTCCCCTCAGAGTTAAACTTGTCCTGGGATCACCTCTGTGTGCTGCTACACAAAGAGCTTTTCACACCTCTCCAGACAACTGAGTAGCACTTGCAAATATTTATACATGATGCTCACAAATTGCAAGATAAGAGGCTGCTTTATGCAGCTGAGCAACAGGAAAATGAATTAGCCTGCAAGTGTGTGACTGTCACCTACCAGGAGACAGCCTTGTGGGAAGTCATTCCAGGAAAATACATTCCAGGGATGTCACTTACCAGTTGGTGCAGTCTGGGTGCAGGGACAATCAGCCTCTTTAGCAATGCTGGGATGCATTTTTGCACTGGAGATCTGATTCCCAAAGATCCCTGCCAGAAAAGAACAGTCCCATGCATGAGGGGATGGAGAAGGGTTGCTGGAGCCTCCATCACAAATATATTCCCTGCAACTGTGGCACTGTGTGGTTTATTCTTCCTTCTTGGGGAAAAAAAAAAAAAAAAAAAGTTATTCTAATTATTTTATATTCTTCCAACTGCACATCCTGGACTCAGTTGCAGCTGCTGCCCTGCGAGTCCTGCTCAGCACAGGGAGGAGCTCCACTCATGGCACTCCTCAGTCTGTCCCTGCTGTTTTCTTCCTTTCTGCAGCAGGGAAAAGGAATATTTTTATTCTGCATTTGAGCAGTGCCCTGCTGCATCATAGCCAGGGCTCACATGCAGAGCAGAGCCTGATCCTATATCTCAGCTTCTGCCCATCTCCCTCCAGCCAAAAACCCCAAAGCTGCTTCTCTTCCCCCCTCATTATCCCCTCTCCCCACCTGACAGAGTGCTCAATCCACCTGCAGCTCCCAAATTCCCACATCTGAGCCAATTCCCATTGCAGGTATGGGCTCAGTAATGATTAAGTTGAAATAAGTGCAGTAAAACCCCACTTTATGTTAGTGGCATCAATATTTGACTTCAGGCCACAGTTATCCCTTCTCCTGGCAAAGTGTCAGGGCTACCTAAGCATGAGATCATGATAAGCAATGGCAAGAATGAATTTGTTCCTTTTTTTCCTTTTTCCCAGTGTGTTTTCCTGCATTTGTGCTGTTCTCAGTGTCCCCTGCCACTCTTGAGGCAAAACCTAACAGCCCAAACCTACAGATTCCTTTGCCAGCCCTCACTGGACAGATGTGCAGGTCCAGATGTGCAGGTCCAGATGTGCAGGGCGGTGGCTGCTCCTCTTGTCCCTGTCCTGTGAGCATCTCCTGCTGCTGGTGTTGTGGGTCACAGGCTGGGCACACAGGAGGAGGCTCACCAGGCCATAAAACCTTTGGAGGAAAATTAAAACCAGTTTTAAGAGCAGGAGAGAGACAATTTTCCTGCAATTGGCTCTTGGCTGAGGGAGCCAGGCCTCCTGTGTGGCACATCCCAGCTCAGAGAGGTCTCCCAAAGCACAGACCTCTCCTGGCTGCTGAGTCTCACTCTCCCAACTAGGTCAGGGCTGTTCTGCAGCTGTTTCAGGCTGAGTTTGGGACTCTTCAGTTGTGGTGCAGAGTTTCTGGTAACACTGGGGAATGAGGCAACATGAAAATGCCTCAAGGAATGCACAGTGAGGAAAGCATGGCCCCACCTAAATGCTGCATTTTTTTTGGCTCAGGTTTGTGCTGCCACTGCTTGACTCAAGCAGTTTTTGGAGGGTGAGCACCAAAACTGGGGAGGAGCTTTCATGTTCTAAGAAACACAGGTTGAACCAATGGTTCAGTCATTTGTTTTTTTTTTAAAACATCAAACCTCCCTTCTTAGAATGGGGATATTTTTATCTGTCTCATCCATCTAAATCTGGGGAATGGTTCATTTCCATTCCCTTTCCAATGATCTGTTTAGACCTGTAAAACACAGGAGGGGAACAAAAATTCACCAACTGTCAAGCCTTAAACTGAGAGCTAAACTTTGTACCAGCTGCAGCAGCATATGAAATGTTCAGGAGCTATAGCAAACTTGAGTCTCTGCAGGTCCCTTCCACTTTTTGTCAAGTTCTTTCTGGAAAATAAATGAAGAATTGAAGGTGAACATCTTCCAGTTGACATCAACCCCCTGATGCTTTGTGTCCCCAAAACAAGAGCTCCAAAACCTGCAGGTCCCTCGTTGCTGCAGTCAGGAGGGCACTGGATAAATCTGGTGTTTGAAACTTCCAGTGATTCCAAAGGGAACTTTTTGGGTAGACATGCATCATATGTGCCCAGCATCTTTCCAGGATACATTTTCCCTGCCTCAGTTTTAACCCATTATTCTAATTAAAACCTCTTTCATTATGCAAATCATCTCCTCTCTCAGTTTTCAGTTATTCTCTGCATATTTCAAAAGCAGCTGTTTCTATCTTTCCCTGCAAATCATCCTCTAGAGAAAAGTTCACCTATTTCCAGCCCTAAACCCCTGTGATGAGGGATCTTGTGTTCCTTGTGCGTTCCTCTTTGCCCCTAAAGCCCTCCAGGC